TAAAACTCAAGATTTTAGGATTTAAAACATCTTAAATTATAAAAGTCATCATCTTGAAATATAAAACTCAAGATTTTAGGATTTAAAACATCTTAAATTATAAAAGTCATCATCTTGGAATATAAAACTCAAGATTTTAGGATTTAAAACATCTTAAATCATAAAAGTCATCATCTTGAAATATAAAACTCTTGTTATATACATGTAATTAATGTTTAGCTCCACTGAAAAAAACATTGTGGTGGGTAACGCTTTCGATAGGGGCATACTTAACCTTCTGGAAGTGTGATAAACGTCAGTACCGTAACTGCAAAATGGTTGGTCATTACTGCTTTCTTGTCTGATAACCCTGATACCCATATTTCGTAGGTTTTATCGAGTTATAGTAGGTAACTATGTTTAAGCAGTAGACACTGACATTTTTCTTGGAATGTACAAAATGGTATTTTAATATCGCATCAAATCTATCGATCTCCAATAAATAAAATGCTGTGTAGTACGATAGTGCGAGAATATCATATGTTAGGTAAGCCGGGGATCAGTGAGTGAATATCAAAAAGTAGCGGTAGAATGAAGACCTAATGCACTAATTCCATTCATAAATCGGTGCTACTGAGTTGATTTCTCATCAATGAATGCTAGAGAACGATCGATAAAACATACTTTACCCATTCATGCTGTTGTACTATATTCAACTGTACTATAAGTGCTCAAAAGTCGTCGAATAATGTTATTGCATCAACACGGCATAAGTGGTTATCTGTTACATCTCCGATGCTTTTGGGAGCTTTGCATGAAACATTGGCGGAATCACCTTCTGTACACACAATGTAAGTGGATGCCGATGTAGAAAGCATATTATTACGCAGTCAATTGGGCATCTATTTGTTGTTTAAGGAATTTTATAAGTAACCCAAATGACACTAAAGCTTTATTGTTTCACAAAACTAGTCAAAAACAAGACTTGTATTACAATTTCAAACCAATCTAAGTCCGATCTATGTGGCAAGACTTGTTTGCTATAGTTAGAGCCACAGCTGCGATTGCACATGCACCCTTCCCAATGATATAGTATAAATCATCACGAGAGTGTTAATGCTTCCTCAGAAAAGAGGATGACCAGAAGTGGTCCACCCTCCACCAACCCATCTACCTTCACTTCCATATTTATTTATCATTTGACATAATATATGGAAGATATAAAATATCGTGACATTTATATTGCTCCACTCACCTAACGTTTCATAGAAACGCCATTGACTGGTTAAATTAAACCACGACACAGTTTTGTGAGGAAGGTATTCTTTGACATCAAACCAAAGATCTGAAGGGTTTTTCAGGTCGACCTCAGGTGTCCTGATTTTTGTTTACTCGTTTACTAGTTTTGTTTGCTGAATATCATTTTTGTTTATTGAATTATCAAAAACAAAAAATAGAATTAAATGATAATTCTGTAAACAAAAATAAAATATAAGTAGAATGAAATCATAATTCAGCAAACAAAAATAGAAAATAGTAAACAAAAATGATAATTCAATAAACAATGATAGCTTGCCAGGCAAGGTAACATACGCCCACTACCAGCTGTCAGAAATGATAACAAAGTCTGTCGGATAAAAATTGTAGCCTTTATCGTGCATACAAGCCAAATTTAACGCGCTTTAACTTAGTCAAGGGCAATAACTCTGAAACCTGACTTAGTAATTATGCGTTAAATTTGTTTTACATACCAAGTTTCATCAAGATCAGATAAAAGCTGTAGCCTCTATCATGCATACAAGAAATGTGGACGGACGGACGGACGAACGGACGGACGGACAGGGGCAACGGCAATATACGTCCACATTTCCATAAAGGAAATAAAAATTGTCCTTAAAAAAAAACACCGTAGGAATCTGAACAACTGCTGAATTTAGTCGACCTTTAATGCATGACAACTGATAACTCGCAATTGCCATCGGTTGTTATCAAAGCAAATATTGGATCTTGTTGTCCAACTGAACGGTTCGGTATTGCAAGTATCTCATCGGTCTACATGTTCCAACTTTTAAAGTAGTTATTTCTTGTATAATTTATAGTTTGAGAAACTATTCACAGGCCTTGGAGTTATGCATCATTAAAAAATTCTTTCAAGAATCAGTTAACTGAGAATACCAATGCATACAATAGGTAAATACGTCATTGATGCCATTTTAACTCACAATAGATCGTATACGGATAAATTAATCAATTTGTTCTATGGAACTGGCTGTCGGCAACAAGGTAGAAAATCGAAGATCTTTTTCTATATTTGGCCATTATTTTCATATTCTCACAAAGAGAAAAGGCGTTTTTAAATTTTTTGTCGATACTGAAAAAAAGTGGTATGTTGGGATTGTAACCGATTTAGAATTTAAGACCAAACTGGTATACACGGAGACTATAATCCTCGACTGGTTATTGACTGCTTTCACTTTTTCTATAAATCAAATTCTTCTGAGAAAACTTCATGACGTCATAGATCAGTGGGATTTGGAAGGAAACAATACGGAGTTTATAAAAAGAAAGATAAAGGTCTAATATAGAAAATAAAGCATAATTAGTAACTTGAAGATAAATTTAGTTGTATTAAACAGGAATTATAAAAGAATTTTAAACAAAAGATCGATGACTTCAACATGTTGAAAAAACAAAGAAAAGGTTGATAATGATATTAAATGTACATGCCCCAACCCGTACGAGTTTTCATATCTGTTTTTAAATCTCACCGAGTCATTTTTATATTTTTAAAACACAACCGATCAATATGCAAAAGAAAAGGGAAAGGGTACTGTTATCTACTAGTCACTTTGAAAACTACCCGTAATACTTTTCACAAAAGATTTAAACTCTAACTCGCATGAACTTAAATGAAAGTAGACTATGATTATAGAATAACCAAAAAGTCTGCAAATTTACACTGTCGTCACTAATGCAATTAAAAGCAAACTTTTTTTTATTGAAATGTAGACGAATGTATATCCCTCAATTTAACATTTCTTTTTGTGTAAAATCCCAACTCTTATTCCTATTCAACATGAATTTCGAAGAGACGAGAGTTTAAAAATAATAAGAGCGTGCTAAAAATTGAAAGTGATACTACGTCTTTGAATTAAAATAAAAGTTATCAAGAATAGTCAATATGAGTAGCCTGTATATTCATCAGTGAACTTACCTGGTGTCAATAGTTAATTGCATATTTATGGAAAATTACTAAGTTTTTTGGATTTATCGGATATATAATTGTTATTAATGACACCATTGCGCAGGTATATCTACTGATGAATATAATATGCTCTTATGGGCCAAGTTCAAAAGTCTTTGATTCGAAGAAGTTTTATTCCTTTAAATAGATTTATACAAGCGGGGTGGCAATAGTCTAATTTGTCTACATACGGTTTGCAACGCTTATCACATCAAATGTGATAAACGCCCCAAACCGTTGTTAAAGGTAGATGTGATAAACGTTGCCAACTGTTGCTAAAGAAACATAGTCCTTCAAGGACACTATTTACTAATCAATTTGCAAATATTATCGATTATTTCCTTATATGCACAACGTATCAACGTCCCTGATATTTTAATTCTATTTAAAGTGGTCATTTCCGCCTGTAGTCAAAAACTTGTGATGACTCTGATACAATTTATTTGATATACTTCGCTTGGAAAAACTAGGTTTGAAGTGACAATCCTGTTTAGGTAAGCCTAATCGTTGGAAACCGCGATTACGTATTTCACAGACCACAGTTAATCTACACAGAAAGTCTTTAAAAGTTTTAGTCTATATAAACCTGTTTCAAATCAGTTTTGAAGGGTGTTAATCTTTTCAAGGGCACTTCTTCCCTGGAGAATCCTTGATAAAAAAAACCCAGGTCCGAGGTCCGATGCGTATCTAGAACATGCCAACCTTAAAAGATCAAAAGATTTTTCATAGACCTGAAGGGGAGGGGGGAGGAGGGGGGGGGGGGGTTGCATTGACCAACCCATCCCCTGAATAAAATATACACCTCTGTCCAAATGGCTTGCCTTATATTCGAAAGACGTACTTCGAGATGGATGTGAAACAAAATATATTATGCATATATGTAGGCCTGTAGGAAATCCCGATGTGAAACATTTTAACATTCTCCTCCATCCTCTCTAGCCTTTCCTTATCTACGCATATGTTTATAAGTCGGTTAAACTGATATGTGATAGATGAAAATCTGTAGGGCTAGACCCTAGACCGACAAGTTGACTCTTAATAATACTACGCATTTTAGACTGCCGACGGCATTGAGGGTCAGGATGTTTCGGTCTAGCCTAGACCCCATCGTAGAATACACACACAGATGGCTCACTCTGGGGTGGCTTAATTAATTTGCCGCAAAAATTAAAGTGAAAACTTTTCTATTGAGACTAATGGGTTCATTTCATCGAATACACTTGTACTTTTAAGTTAACTAAGTGACCTATATTAAAAAAATTGTCTTATCCCTTTGTGTATTCCATAGCTTATGTCGGTATTTAGAATATGAATAGAGCGCCTATCATTCATTAACTAGTTCATTGATAAGTAGGGTCATAATGCCCGGCTTGATAAACCATAGCTTTTATATCCTGCTCACTATTTACATGGGTTTCAAACATTCGATTGGGTTATTTTTATACATCTTTCTCTTCTTTGGATGTGACTCGATCATCCTATTCTATTCCGTCTTATATCTATGCAGTTTTCTTATTTAGACTGAAAACGTTGACTTGCGTCAATTGAAGTGGTCGGTTTACCATAGTAACCATCGGATACGAAACTCCGCCTTCTATATTTCTCATAATACAACGGGAACGTGTTATGACGTCACATGACGTCACGGCCTGTCTAGTAGCGCCATGCTAAAATAAGGCAAGTGTTGAATATGTCCACAAATACTGATTCTGTACGTTTGAAACGGGTGTTTTGGAGGAGTTTAAAGTTTTTTTGTTCCGATGAATAAACCATGGTCATGGCGGAGAGGACTAAAGGACAAATCCGAGTCGGATTTTACGATATTGAAAGGACTATCGGCAAGGGAAACTTTGCTGTAGTGAAATTGGCTAAACACCGGATAACGAAAACTGAGGTAAATTTTTCGTTACCCATCATTTTCATTACATAATACTCATATCGTTTCACAAAACTAGAATAGAATTCCAATCTTCATGGCAATACCATATATTTTGCCACTATATTAAAGGTCTACTGTACTTTATTACCAAGTAGATTTTGCCTCCATAATATAAACAAAGTGAACAATGTACACACTTCCTTACTTCATTCAAGTATACTAGCATTGAGTAGCAGTATACTTGCTTGCCTTCCTCTTATAACACTCATAACTACACTTATGAATGAAGCCAGGAAAATCATTACTATAAAATACTGAAGGTTAGCAGCAATGAAATCAGGTACCAAGTAGACCTGTAGATTAGATTAGAAGGTCAATCACTATGAAACCTTTTATCATAACATACTATATAAGCCTACAAAGTATTAGGCTAGTATGTACAAGTTTGAAGAATTGATAGAATTGATGAAGAATGCAGCATTCAGGTGCATAGTGGCACTGCTCTATTAGCATGTTATAGCATGTACCGGTATATTATAAGTTGTCCGATTGTAAATAATATGACGAAAATATAAAGTAGAAACAATGGCAGAATTCTAAAATCTAAGCATTTAGTTAGCAATACATACATTGCACTTATTAAGATTAAGGAATAATTAACAAATTGGTTGATTTTATATGGAAATACCATTAGTTCAATTTGCTCTTCTTTCTATCCATTTTATGCTTAATGCGCTTGATCTAGCTTAGGACAGCGATAACAGAATTAAGAGAAACTGGATTGGCAATGACTGCTCTTAACTGTTGATATTTTGGACAATCTTATCAATGGCTGGATTTGGTTCCAAATTGCAATCAGTTGCTAAATTCCAAGCAAAACACGTTCTGATTGCATTGTTAGCAAGTAATAATTGGTTAATATGTTGATATTATTTCCAAAGCGCTAGATCTGGTCGATATTCTGTCATTAGTCTTGAAAGACTTGAAATGAATCGTATATCTATATGAGATCATTTAAGACGGATATGAATCACAAAGCCAGATATTTGTGAACAGAATAAGCCTGCCTGGTGCCTGTTGTTTGTTCACACTACAGAGCGTCACAGAAATTCATGGAACAGGGATATTCAGCAGTATTTTTTAGCGCCCGCAGCTATTCAATTACTGTTCAATTAGCATGACAAAGAAGTCATAGGAACCCACACACATAATCTTCCATTGCATCTGAATTGTTGTAATTCTATTGGAATCGAATGGGAAAAAATGCTAATTATACCTTGTACTAACTGTATATATGTTATAATATGCATATAATGCAGTGCAGACATATCATATTTTAGTCTTAAATTATAGACTTTTATACTTTCATCTTAAGATGTTAAATGAATTATTTTACCTGAAGAATGACGTCAAGGCAGTATGACACATGACATAATACTGACAGTTGATGTCATTGTTAACTTGACCTCCTTACTTACATGTTATTGTCATATTATCATTTATTATTTCAACTATCTTCATTGTTTTCTTACCAAGTAGTTCATTTACATTTCATATATTATTCTTGTTCACCAGATGCCACAATCCCCACAACTCTTGTTCTGTTTTAATCTGTCTGAAATGACTACTTTAAAGGGACATATTCGCAAATTTGGGGGGTTGATTTGGGCTTTGAATATCAGAATTACTAGAAATGTACAAAACATTTGAAAATTAGTCGTACAAGTATGCACAAGTATGCACTTGTTGAAGTTATTGGGAAATATCCATAAATCAAACATACCAGAACGAAATGAAATGCATGTGTTGAATAAATTGTAATTGAAACTATAAGCTTTCACTCACAATTAAATCGCATTGAAACTAGAATCTGTGTATATTTTGAATAGTTCTTTGATGTGCTCAAAGATTTTTGTTCATTTAAAAAGGAAACCACTTAATAATCTAAGCAATATCTGGATGTCTGATTTCAGTTACTATTTTCATCAAAACTAATGAATTATTCAGTTTTAATTTCATTCAATTATTCTTTTACATAATGAGTCAAGTAATTTATCAAACAAATTAAAGACATGTTTGGATTATTTAGCATTAAATTAGTCTTAAAGGGATATTTACAAACTTTTTTGTGTATATTGAGACACTGGTAAGCATTGATTTGCACCATCCCAATTTTCGGTCACCTGTCAGTTGGCCCTGCAATTACAATAAAACTAAAAAAAGCTTATAAGATATAGGCCTCAAACCAACTTGTGAGCTTTTTAGTCAAAGATTTCATAATTTATCTATACTGGTATCGTATGATATTTAAGCTTATTGTATATACTTGTATATATTATTCTATGTGAACTTTCATAAGGTATTAGTATTATCGGGGTGTCCTGAAAAGGTGGTTGTGCACTGCACCACGTGGGACACCTGCTGAAGCATTACAAATATAATGTAGTCTCATCCTAATTGAGCTCTGTTTTTATGGTATTGTACCTAATAAACCTTTATTCTTCATACATATAATACAGGTGTTACTTTTACAATCTAATAATAAAATTTCTTACTTACTCACCATTTTTGGGGATTATATTCTTTTGTCAACTCCTTTCTGAATTAAACTTATAGCTGGAGTCAGACCTACTTTTTTTGTTAGGGTGCAATCGAAAATTGAAAGTGAAGTAAATGAAGGGAATAGAGCACAGTCTCATAGTGCAGAATCAGTTTCAGAATACTACAAAGTAATCTGAGCAACCGTATGCATAGTTCTGACAAAACTTGATTGTCGGATATAATATATAATAACAATAACATGATATGATTCCTGTAATTCCAGAAGAACTTGATCAGATTATGAGTTCAAATATAACCGGGATAGTCCTTTCACTCAGGCCAAAGGGTATTTCTGTAATGACATCATAATCTGGTCAAGTGTTATCTATTTTGGAAATCACACACATCTGTTCAGGTACAATCTATCAGTGTCATGTACATAAAAACAAAGGGTAGGAACCTTAGTAATTAAGTCCCTTTCAGGCTCAGTGATTACATGCCTTGTAATGACAATTCAAAAACAATTTTCAGGTTAAAAGTTCAAGACTATTATAATTCACCTATATGTTTTTTTCAGGTGGCCATTAAAATTATAGATAAAACACAGTTAGATGAGGCTAATTTAAAGAAAGTGTACAGAGAAGTTCAAATAATGAAATTATTAAATCATCCACATATCATTAAACTCTTCCAGGTAGGTTAATATTATACAATCTTAACATTCAGTGAATTTCTTTAATCAGCATTTGATTTTACTAATTGGCTACTCAATTGAAATTCTAAATCACATTCAAAGCAATTCTCTATTGGAATGACAGTACTCAGTACTGCTGCTTAAATTGAAATCTACTTCTGTATTTCATGAACCCTGTTCAAAAGCCTGCATGAAAAATATTCTATTATCTACAAGGAAAACATGGCTTTAAATATACACATATGACAACAAACTGGCACCATGATATTGTAGCTGAATGATGTTAAATGATGGTCTCCAGCCATCAAACATATTTGTCAATTAGAATCAAATGTGATATTCGGATGAGATATCGGCACAGATACATTGTAGAATATAAAGTCTTGATGGACTCATAAATGGTTCAGTTTTATGTCTGGCCCTAACCCATATCACGTCAAACGAATTGGGTAGGGCCAGATTTGTCGGGCTATTTAAAAATAAACTTGTTATTAACCTTAAAGATGTTTCAACATGTGAGTGGGTAAAAAAAGGGCAGTGCGAAGTTAGTACATGAACAAAACGTTGACGGTTAACGTAAGCTGTGGGTGGTGGTGATCTCACTAAAAATTGTCATCAGTTGATTCATAAACATCCTGATTACCATGTCAAAATAAAAATGTCACTATATTTATTTTAATGTTATAAAGGTGATGTCATAGTTTATTACCATGTTTATCAATTTTTTGACATGATATTAAATTCATTCTTTACATTTTAAAAGTGTTTCTATTTAAATCTTGCGTTGAATAATTTAATTTTACTTTCTGTTCTCAAAAATTTGATGTTATACAAATTACACCAACTAATTACTCTGTGGTCTAGGCCAGTGCTTTCAAACTCTTTAGCTTAATATCATTTTTAATGTTGAAAATCTCAATCTCTTCCATGACAATAACTACATGTGTGGTATACAAGCAATATCATTACCTATCATGAATTTCTCACATTGAAACTGGGGTGTCTAAGCAATAAGAAGGGACAGGTTGAGATCTCATTCTTGATTCTTTCATTACTTCCTTCTTCCTCTTTGATGTCTAGTAGAACAGCTCATAACGCAGAATTAAAGTTCTAGAAAATCTACAAGGAATTGTTGCGTGGGCACTTTTGGTTTAAAGTTAAAAATTGACTTGTTGCTTTATTCCACAGTCTTGAGCCGTCCTATTTTTTCATGATGCTGCAATAAAAAACATAAGCTTACATCTGAAAATAACTGAAAGTAATCCAGAAATGAGATTAACTAAGTTGTGACATGATTGAAATATGTTTTGAATGAAATGTTGACATAACATAGTGTTTATGAACTAACCTTTTATGATGTATTCAAATAGGCATTGATGTACATTTCTATAACAAGTATAATATCCCCTACTTGATATTTTTGTGTCTTTTATCCCGTTGGTTTATATATAGTAACTTTTCTATAAATAGAAAGAAGATAATAAAAACATGGCCTATAAATAGTCTAGAACTGAGGGATTATGTCAATAACTAACACATATGGTCTCTTGGGTGCTACATTTAATTAAATAACTTTACTTCAGTGAGAATTTAAGGCCTAACTCAGCAATGTTAGAATTAATTTTGCTTGGTCTAACTATGAATAAATTAAATACTTATACCAAACCTTACAAATTTCCCTGAAATCTATAAATGTACTTGGTAATCTAACTCAAAAGATAACTGCCATATTTTAATATAAAAATACCAATGTTAGATTAAAATATGTCTAAAATTAGATTGTTATCTGGTTTGAATAGGTTAATAATAGATTTTCTGCATGATTAACCAGTATACTGACAGACATTGATAAATAAAGTTTATATTTTGATTGGTAAAATAGCAATAAGCGTTAATTTGTGGAAAGTTTCACAATCTACTTTCTTCAGAAACCTTGCCTGATTAATCTGAACAAAGTATTATTTTTGTGGAATCATTTGTTTAAGAAACGAAAATAAAGAAATGAAGAAGGCCAATTTTTAAACTTTACAGTGTCATGTAGAATCATGTTGGCTATATATGTAAATTGTGGCATTGAACAAATCAGAAATTGGGACTAAGAAAATGTCAATCTTGGGTAATATCATAGCTGCAATTTGAAAGAGAAGTTCCAGTTTTTAGAATTGTATGTATGCATCATATCTGATATAAACCTCATATATCTCTAGATATTTTATACCCACAGCTCAATTTGCCATACAATACCCCATTCATCTCTTCTCAATTTCTATAATTACTTTCCAAGGTAGATACAGTATTATTTAGGAAGAGTACCTTACCCAGTTTCAATTTATGAAGACATCCAGTGATTCATTATATATGATTGCCTTTTGTTACTGCCAGCATAAAATTCACACTAAACTAGATCCATAGTTATCATCCATCCAGGTATAACCTGGTTGTCATCTGGAGTATTCTTTTCTAAAATATTCTTTGTACAGTGTTAGTGCCCTTACATACAAACATGAGTTGAAAAGCAGCAAGTCATGGCCCCTGTTGTCCTACTAAATTATATTTTAATGATATAATTTTAGGTGATGGAAACCACCAATATGTTGTATTTAGTATCAGAATATGCACCACATGGAGAAATATTTGGTAAGTAACTTTCTGATGCTTCTAGCCCTGGTAGAAATTAATTATCTCATGCAGTACATCTGAATTAAAAACTGTAAAGATTATTGATACAAAACCTGAATTTTGTAGTTGTTACAATATGTTCATATTTTTAGTGAGAAATCAGTGTTATCCTCATTGGTCAATATTTTTGAGTCATAGAACAAATTTATTCAATTAAAAAATCTGTATTAGAATTAGAATAATATGAAATATATTTTGGAACTAAAAGAGTGAAAAAATCTGTATAGAGTATCTAAGATGATGTTCTAGTGGCAAAAATTACACAATTCCTTATTGATTCCGCTTATATAGCCTATATAAATTGTGCTATTAGCCCGAGGCTTTAGATTCTTAAGAGTAAAATTGATGCCAGTTTGGTTCCGATGGATTTATTAGGCTGTAAGAGTGTTAAGCAATTTGAATTTTCTAGATGAATTGCTGACAAAGTAGTTTTATAAACATTTGAAAAGACTGGCAGATTGAATGTTTCACCAGACTTTGTCTTTTCTTCAAATAAATGATCTCCTCAAAACATTCTAATTGGTGTCTGGTCCTTGCTCTTGTCTACTTTACTCAGTAACTCTGTAGTTTTCTACTCTTATACAATATGACCTTCACCTTTCTATCAGCTGTAATGTAATCTTGATTCAGGAATTGATCAGATTGACATTTCTGGAGAACGAACCTGTTGTATAGTGTTACCTGGTAGGTCAATGATCACTGGTTTAACGCACAAGATTAAACATAAATAGCAAAAGAAATTTCTCAGGTGTTTACGATAGACAATATTAATCTAAATTTCAACCAAAGCTGACAAAAACATTAAGTTTAGATTCCCTGAATAAAATGCTGACACTCTCAGTCACTGGTTGCATCAGGTGTTCTCGAATGAGGAGGATTACCAACTTTAGGATCACATCACAAAATCTCGCTTTATTTTTATATTGATATCGTAAGATAAACAAAACATGCTTTATTAAATTTTTTGGTCATCTTAAAAAGGCAAATTAAACAGATTAAAACCTTTGTTCCACTTGTAATTGAATTATAGGTTATAGTCAGACTAGTGTAATACTTCTGCTATCATATATGCTAAGCAATAATATCTGAATATCTCTGTATGAATATATTACTCCAGGCCAGAAACAAAAAAGTTATACATCATCTAAACAATAATGACAAAATATAAATCATTGTTATATTCCCACATATATAGTTATTGCCCCCATATGTCTGTCTGTCTGTCTGTTTGTCTATTATTTTGGGACACATAGAGAGTTGGTTTTTCGAGGGATTTTGATAAAATTTTGTGTCATTGTTTGTTATCACCTAATGATGAAGTCTATTGAAAATCAGACAAAACGAAATATTTTTTACATAAGTTATTACCCTTGTAAATTGGAAACAATATTTAGCATGTAAACTTCTTGACGGATTTTGATCAATTGCAATGAAATTGTTTATTATTTCCCAGTGATATACCCTAGATAGATATTCCAAAAAAATGTATTGCCCTTGTTCTTGAAATCTCATTCAAGACACAATTCTGAACAGATTTTAATTGAAAAATATTAAATATTGGTTATTGCCCTTGTTCTCAAAAAACCTGTTCAATCTTTTACTCCTAAACACCTCAGAAGACAAATTCTTGACTGATTTCGACGAAACTTGGTGAAATGGTTTATTATCACTTAAGGATGAACTCAATCGAAAGTCAAAAAAAAAAAGAAAGAGGCTGTGAATAAAGTTCTTGTTGTATGAAAATATTACTCTTGAAATATTTCATTTACTGGTAGCTCTAGTCAATCTCCTGAACGACTTGGCTGGTGTATTATGATGGCCATCCCTATCAGCTTTGTCCATTTTATTTATGTTAAAAAAGGTGCTATACAAACTAATAACTGAAAGGTTCCTATAGACAGAGTTGTCTAAAAGTGGGACAGCATTTAACTGAGCAAAAACAATTATTTTATATTATTATCTTTAATAGAAATATAAAATCAGAAGTTGAAAATTGAAACATGTTGTTACTATACATCTTTTATATTTCAACGACATGTGATGTTCTATATTGATTTTATCAGACCTATTTTACCAGTCATTAAACTAAGGTTTCTGTTTTCAAACACAGCAAATTGGTCAATAGATATATCGTAAGATTATTGAGTCTTCTAAAAATAAACTTTTAGGTCTATTTTAGTCTTGTCATCTTGATTCTTTTTGATCATGTCTGTCCACATATCGAGCTCATATTGAAAAAAGAAAATTGTTTAAACAATTCAAGCTACTGTTAAAAAGGCTGGACAGGGTTGTCATCACAACTTAAAAGCAATAATTATTAAGAAATTAATTGATTTTCTTTCAGTTTTTTCACTGTTTAATCTTCAGTCTATTTTCAAAATGCAATAAAATCATGTTTTTTGGTTCATTCTGGACTTAATTCAACTACTTAACCTTTGAAATAGACAGTAAAAAAATAAGATGTTCGATCATTTTATTTTAAGAAATCAGACTGATTTATCCAAGTTGTATACAGTGAAATGTCAAAAGGGAGTATTGCGAAATGTGTATAGGTTTTCAATTGATTTTTACCATTTATTTCTTTCATTGTTTAAGTGTAAACAGAATTTGTTATTGTAATGAGCTAAAATCAATCACTGGATTATATAGGTTTTTGTCTTCCTTCATTGTTTGATTAGTACAAGCAAGCCAGTTACATATTCTATGCTATGAGTCATCATTATGCAAGTCTGTTTTAATTCCAACAAGAATATGACATCCTTCAACTCTGTGATCAATTATTAAAGATTTACTTAGTTAAAGCGCCTTTGTCATCTAAATATTTACATGACTAACTGCTAGTTCTTGTTTCAGCTATCTCGTTTCACTTTTTAGAATAAAAAATGTTCTCTTACAATGAAAGGTACCGTCTAAGTAGAGAGATCTGTATGTCTGTGTTTATTTTTGATTGTTTGCTTAATTTTATGTAAAAATTGACTAAATATCTATAATTATTGAAATAATGTATACTTTGTAGATTATATCGCTCAACATGGCCGTATGATGGAATCAGAGGCTCGACGAAAATTCTGGCAGATATTATCAGCTGTAGAATATTGTCATAATAGAAACATTGTTCACAGGGATTTGAAGGTAAGTTGAAATTTTTTTTTAGTTGATTAGAGGTAGAATAAGATTAGAGTCCTCTACAATTTGTGATACACAATAAGAAATGAAATTAGTTCAATCTAGAGATGTGGAAGCTATATGCAGAAAGTGTGGTAATCGAGAAGTGTTACATTATATCATTTATGTGGCTTTCTTTATTGTGTGGAAACCTTACTAGTTGTAATAGGTGTGAAACACATTTCTTAACTATAGGTTATGTCATAACACGAAGAGTTGAAATATTCTATGACATCAAATATTACATTTACTACCATAATTCTGGTCAAATAGAATTTTCAAAGTAGAAATGTAATGTGTAATGGAGTCCAATTTTGTTTCTGATAATGGGGCCAACAAATGAAAGAAGATCATGCAATCAAATTTGAGCAAAGTTTATGTAGATGGAAGGGGTTGAAAACTGATGATGTGTTGACTTAAGAAAGTATTAGATGTGGTAGTTTATGTAGATGGAAGGGGTTGAAAACTGATTATGTGTTGACTTAAGAAAGTATTAGATGTGGAATCTGAAATCTAGATAGGGTCACAATTATCAACAGATAGGGTACATATATTGTAGATGACATGAATATTGTTCAGGTCAATATTTTATATATGGTAAAATAGCCCATGAACAAAATTAACGTCAACAAGAAATCACATGATAACACAGTGTTAATTTTCCACGTCAACAACATCCACATTAATTCCTTCAATAGACACTTATTACTTTCATGAAGAAATGTTTGTTCCCAGTTTTGAAAAGAATTCAGGAAATTTTTATCACAATCATATAACAGTTTCTGTGTACTGTGATAATTACGTCTTAGATTTTTTTTTTCATTATATTTTTTTATGGTCATTTTTTAACTGAATGATCATGCAAATTATTCCACCCTTTTACTAGAAATACTGTGAAAATAGTTTCTAATAAGTGTGATAATTGTTAAAGATTTGTGTGAGTTGGTTAGATCGTTCTGAATCTTACAGAATCTCTGTTTTTCTTAATTTTGGATAGATGATGCAAAGCAATTTGCCAACAAAAAAAAATACACAATGCATTAATAAGGCAAAAAAATTGTCCATGATACTTATGAACATTCTTTCTTATGACTTTGAGAAGAAATAACAATGATTACCTCAGCAATACTTGATAATATCTTAATCAAAAAAATAAAATATTGTCTTTAAACATAATAAGGTTACTGTAAATCAAACTGCAGTACATTTACTACCATGTAGTTATTTTGTAGCCTTTATTTAGAAAACAGAGCAGTGTGAAGTTGGCCACACTATTAACAATTGATAGGATAATAAATGAAGTAGACCATATAATTTCAGGTTATGTAAATAGATTATATTTCATCTCAATATATCTTGATAGTAATTAATCCTGTTGCTATATATACAAGATAAACTCCATTATTTACTGTCTTTGTCAACTCTAGGGGCTGACATGGAAAAAGGTTATAGTTGTTTAGATACAAAAATAACAAGTGTGGGGGGGGGGGGGGGGGGGGTTCCATGTTCTACAGACTGCAAGTTAAAGATACCTTTACAGTAAGAGCAAAAGAGAAAAAATTTCGGTTGTTGCACACTACATGGTGTTGCCTGTCAGAAAAGTAACTTCTTAAGTGGCATTTAGTAATTGAGGTATGAATATATGAATACGATTTTATGGGTAACAATTACTTTAATAAATAACTTGCGACGTTTCAAGGATGATAATTTCGTCCTTATCAAGCAATGATTTTTTACATATTTGCTCTAAGGAAAGTTTCATTTGAACATAACTTTTAAAGCCAATAGATGTATCAGTTATCAGTTATCAATTCACTATTCATAGAAATGGAAATAGAGTTCAAATAGAGTAGAGGATTTAAAAGACATTCGATGAAAAGACTTCTTTTAGTGAAGATGTTAGCTAGCTATAATATGATATATAAACTTCCTGCACTTAGATTTAAATGTGTAGTTAAATTTAAGTGGAAAATTTCTAACAAAAAGACAAGTGATAAATATTAAGCGAAAGAATAGAGTAGGTTTTAAGAAGTGTGTTTTGTTGTTTCCTTTTCTGACAAATACACATCTTTTATCCTATGCAATTTAGACAATCATACAAGACAAATTTTTGTATTATTTCTTAAAGTAGTCAAAGATTGACTGAAGATGTCAGTTTTGTATGGTGCGATAAGATAGCGATCATAATTTTCGTTGTTAGTTGTTATCATGACCACCTTGATCATTCGCAAGTATACGCAACTGATAAATGCTCTGGTAAGGGCACCATTAGACTAAAAAGATTCTGAATAGTGGCCAATGTGTCTGCCTGACTTCTCTTTTGATTTTTTAATCAAAAAGTATGGTGGGATGCATAGTTATGATTCTTTGAATTTTAGATGTAAACTATTTAGTCTGTAAATCATCTTCATTATTGACATTTTGAGTATAAACATCGTAAAATTTTGGTGAGAAGATAGAAAATTACTTAGTGTAATTACAACATGAGTTGCCTAGTTTTTGACATGTTCATGTTTACTTTGGCTACAAATTCTAACTTTAAAGGATTCCAAACAAACTGTTGATTATAAGTATACCAGCAGATCATCTTACACCATTGACGTCAAGACTAAAACCACAACTTCAGACCAAAGAGTTTACATAAGGGAGATCACTTCTATCGAAAAATAAAATACCTCCAGGGAATACAAATTTCAATCCTTAAACTTGGGCAGAAAATTATTTTATTCCTTCATTTAATTTGTATCACTCAATCCATGGATCTATCAATTTATATTTTTTTCCAGTAAACCCATTGTCAGATTTCACTCTATGAGAAATAAGCTAATCTCATTGGAAGTCATGCAAGTGTTATGCTGCACTGGTGAAAAGTGCTGGAACCCATCTTTAAGTTTGAGTTTGGAATTAGAATGGCTCTGCTGGCCATGTTTTACTTTCAGTGTGGATCATTGCCAAGGTCTGTCTGCAGTTGAGTAACCGGGAAAATTATTAGGTCAAATCTGTTAGGCTTTATTTCTTCTATTACATAAAGGTCAAATTTCTCTTCCTTGCATAAATATAGAATCTTCTCTACCATTGGTATAAATCTTATTCAGAGATTTTGACCAATTTAGAAACGCAGCAGTGATTATTTCATCAACTTTGTGAAATTGCATGAAAATTGTTCTACAAACTTCAATATAAGTTTCTTTAATATGTATTGTTCAATGATTTCCATTTAATATATCTGCATTTGCATACTGTTTTTGGCAATTTCATCTATCAAGGTATTCTAATATACATGGCTTTCAGTAACACAATTCTATATTAGCTCTGTATTTTTTAACTTTTCCAATATAAATACCAGGAAAGTTGATTGGCATTTGTAAATAAAGTTGATTGGTCAATATAATGAGAAGAATATTATCGACTAATGAGACCTGTCAATTGTAAATAAATTTTCAACAGGCAACCCAATGCTCGAAACCTAATTGATTATTTCTATTAAACAATATGTTGACCCTGAAGCACTATTTATGACATGGTAGATGTCATAGTTGGGTCATATTGAACATGTCATATATGTACTTTTAATGCTCTTTTGATTAATTAATGATGTTATGAATTTTTATTCATATTTTTCCATATTTTTCAGGCAGAAAATTTATTGATGGATGCAAATTTAAATATAAAAATAGCAGGTAATTAATAAAATTAAATCGATATATAATGTAATATGTAACAGCATGGTTAGTGAGTTTTCAGTGACTTATAGCAATCTTGATGATCATAGACTACCATTGGGCTATTGGGTTTCATTTCTACTGTGTCCTTTATGGGTTTCATCATGGCCTCCACCATCCTTTGCTTAAGAAAATGATATTTCATGAGTGTGAGTGGTTTCTAACATCCTGTGCTCCAAGGGAATTGGCATTTAATTTACTTTTGTTCCCGAGATCCTAAAGTAAAACATTTTATTTATTAGCCCCTATTTTGTTCCTCGTAGATTTTGGTTTTGGTAATTTTTATAAGCAAGATGAACAGTTAGCCACATGGTGTGGTAGTCCACCTTATGCTGCTCCTGAAGTTTTTGAGGGCAAAAAATACCTTGGTCCACAAATAGACATCTGGGTAGGTTTATTTTCATGTTAATTATAAATAGATTTAATTGTATATGAAATTTATCAGCACATATATTAGAATATGTTGTCAAATATTTTTCAGGAGTTGTATTTATGACCGACCAATTTATGTTACTTAGTTATTTATAAAGTGCAAAAGTTTGTTTCATTTGTTTTTTAAATTTAATCAAATTTCCCTTTATAATTACAGAGTTTAGGAGTTGTATTATATGTATTAGTGTGTGGAGCTCTACCTTTTGATGGACCTAATTTACCATCATTAAGAGATAGAGTATTATCAGGAAGATTCAGAATTCCATTCTTCATGTCAACAGGTAAGTTCACAAAGTTCTCTTGAGTTTCTGAATTGACTATGTAGTTAGTTTTGAATTCAAAGGTCATTGTGTACCTTTTAAGAGAAACTGATAAAGACTAGTCATTTGTTCAGATTTAAAGATAACAGGATCCAATTCCAATAATACATCAATGATTATATAGTTGAATTTCACAGTCAATGATTCAGATTGTATTAATTCAAATTGTCATATTCAACTTGTTAAGAATGGTGAAGATTTTATTGCTGTTCAGTTGATTTAGCTGTTTAAAAGCTAACTAACTAAACGGCTTCTGTTTATGATTTTAAATTTAGTTGTAGATGAACAATACATAAGATTTTTACATTGAAAGGGATACATATAACTGGAATTAAGCAAGACAACAATACTATTTTTAATTGTAGAATGTGAGCAGTTGATACGTAAAATGTTAGTATTAGACCCAAATAAACGCTACACAATACAGCAAATAAAATCACATAGGTGGATGCAAATTGATGGTGGACCACCAAATTTACCACCAGCTAGTCCTCTCATTGGATATAATGCCAAGGTTGGTGAATTCAACGAAAAAATATTACGCATCATGCAAAGTCTTGGTATTGATCAACAAAAGACAATGGAGGTAAGACATTTATTCGATACTATTATTGGTTCTCATATATGCCATCATGAAGGATAGGCTTTCTCTGTGCTGCATTCTGTTACCTGATCCAAGATATTTTTGTTCCTTATAAAATATTGTATTGTTCTTCAGACTAAAAATCATAGATACTGATACTCTATCAGTGATTTTAGACCTTGGATATTAATACTGGAACTATGTCTATATTTCAGGCACTGAAGAATGATGCATACGACCATTACACAGCAATATATTATTTATTATTAGATAAATTACGTCATCATCGGAGTAGTTTCCCCACAGACAGTCGTATTGATGCTAGACGGAGACGACCGAGTTCTATAGCAGAGCAAGCTATGATGCGTGTGAAAACAAATCAAACGTGTATCCACAAGACACCCTTAGGACAGGTTAAACAAGGTGTATTTAGTCAAACTACTGACTGTGTTACTCCACCAGGAGTCATACAGAAACCTACTGCAGAAATCAAACGACCTCATTTATATAATGAAGGTGAAATGAATCCATCTCCTATTGGTGTGACAGCTTGTATGGCAGACGTGATACCTCAGCCTTTTGTTAAAACAATGCAAACTATGGCTGGTCATGTGATAACTACTTCAATTGATGAAGGTGTTGAGGCAGACATTTTGGATCGTGATTCTGAAAATGATCTGATCCAACGCCGCTACTCCATCGCTAAAGATGGGTTTGGATTAATTCCTAGTTGTGCTTATGGTGAATTTAACAATTTAGGATTAACAAGCAATAATGGAACAAACAATTTCTATCAGTCCCCGTTTACAAGTTTTGACTCTTCATTGGAAGCAGATGTGAGTACTAGTCTATCGTCTTGTGTTCAAACTAGTTCTTCTTGTGCTTTAAGCAACATGTCACCCACGCCTACCTACTCTCATTTAGACAATAGTAACTTAAATCCAGCCATGTTACAGGTGAATAACAATTGTAGTTCAGAAGGTTCACAAGATGAACCAACACAGGACAGAAGTCAGACACGATCACCTGTGAACTTTCGAGAGGGACGTCGTGCATCTGATGGTCTTGTTGCTCAGGGAATTATAGCTTTTAGACAGAGATTGAGAGAGAGTATGAGAGCTAAAGGTATGTTGGAGTTACGTCAAGAGCATCAACATTTACAGAATTTATATCAGTATCCACTTATGATCCCACTGGCGCCACCCCCAACCCCTGTACCACATCGAAAATTATCAGCACCTCTTCATCCTAGCTTTAGACAATGGTCCCTAGACGAGCCTTCACACACTGCACGAAGACGACCTTTGATGAAGAGAATGAGTTTACCTTCTGAAACTTTTGACATAGCTCCACATCGACTTCTGGCTCTTAAACAGAGTCTTCAACTTGAAAAACAAATGGAGAAAGTGAATCCTGAAGAAGAAGGCAATGTGAATCAGCCTTTGTTTGATTTTTCCACCACTGCTTCATCTCAGATGTTACAACACAGACTACAACATAAACGACAGATGTTCCAAGCTCATGGACAACCGTCCCAACTTCATCAGCAGTTCCAACAGCTGAACATCTCCCCTCAAAACTTACCTACCATAGATCTACGACAATCCGTGTACCCAAATCAAGATCAAAAACAATTTATTGGTTTATCAAATACCGAGCCATTGTCAAATCTAGCTGATGCATCAAAAGGCTTACCATCATTTATCCCACAATCCTCTGTTACTGTACAGCCTAAGCCTGGAACCTGTTACCCAGCAGCCACATCAGTATCCCTTGACAACCAATATCAGCCACCATGGCAACAAGAGCCTTTAAACATGACCACGCATTTCAACAGATCACAAGATTCTGGAGCCATGTTTACTTTAGAGGAATCAGTAGCTGAATCTGAGGGTTCACCAAACAGAAAGGATATGATTTCACTCATGCCACACCCTATAGAAGTAACTGAATCTGGTATTCACAATTTGAATGATTTCCATTTAAAGCCACCAGAACTCTTGAAATACCCACCAGAGAGGAAAATTGGCGTAGATCTGGGCAATATGAGCTTTCCAATAAATTTAAGTCCCTTAACAGAAGCATCAGTGTCAGAAGAAAATCAGAATGTTGAACGGATCAAACAGTTTGGAGCAGAAGAACAAATGGAATTTTCATAAAAATTGGTAACATTTTTTTAGATTTAGGATCAAAACAAAGTTAGAATATTTACACAAATTGTTCAAATGTGCAATTATTGAGATATCTTTTGTTAATCTGTACTTGTTATATCTTGAGGATTAGTGCCATTCTTTAAGAATCCAAATTATTATCGTGTTAGAAAGGAGCTTTAACATCATCTTGTATTCATCATCCTAGTTAGTTTTGTTTAATTTCAATTATTGATAATCAAAATTCATTGTATCATCAAACTTAGGTCATAATTCAATCTGAAAATCTATGAAATGATATTATGTTGACTGACCATAAACTAATCTGCACCATGGTCATTTCCTTGAATATACTAGAGTTAGAATAATTCTATAAATACAGATGCAATATATATATATTATATATTACCAATAGATATTTAGTAGATATATTAGCCTGATATTCAATTGTTCCCATGAGTTTCTTTTTATCTTGAAGATATCATCCAGATCAAAATCATTGCTATGATTCGGCTGAAAAGTTGTGATTGTTTAATCACAACATTTTAAGATCTGTTCCATTATTTTTGTTATTTCATATTTTGTTTCCACGTTTTCTGAAAATTAGGTTTATATATAGGTGTATTCCACTTTTTTTGTAAAACATTTTAATTACCAAAAACTTTGTAAATTATACCTGAAAATATTTCTAAAGTATGCATTTAATATCTATGTATCTACTTGATCAACTTTGTTTTAAAAGGGTTAATTAAAAACTGAGAGTACTAATTGTTAATTAAGCAGTTTTACCTAGTTTGATAGGCTTTATAATGGCTCCTTATATTTACCGGTAATTGAAATCTTTAGAAAACGTAGGAGACATATTTCTCTACAATTAGGCGTTTATTTTACTAAAATCTGTACAGTGGATTTTTAACAGCTTGCAAAGAGCTTATCAAACATTAATTGTAAATTTGGGCGTTAAAAAATTAACGGCTGCATTTTTTTAGTTAATACTTTCAGATATGTTATAGGATACATTTCAATAGATTTTGGTTTATTGTTTTCGTAATTTGAGCAAACAAATTTTTTGACCTACAAAAAAAGCGGAATGTCCCTTTAAAAGCACTACTGATTATTCTGGCAGGATATTTACAATTTTCATGGACAGTTAAACAATTAGATACATAATCATTCTTGGTTTAGGATTGAGTAATAATTAATGTGGACATTGAACCCTGGACAACAGCAGGTCAGATATATAACATTATTACATACATATCAATTATATTGATTTTCTCATTTCTTTACAACAGAAATTATTAAACATTAAAAGTTAATTTTTATAACACTATGGAGCATATTTTGAGTACATCATAAGAAGCTGTCTGTAAGAGACCATTTGTAATTTTGAGTTTGTCTGAATCAGTTAATAACTGTCTTCATAACTGTGTTTTGTTTTTTATCTTGAAAAAGACAATGATATATATATAATATTCAACAATTGCTTTTTAATTTCAATACTAAATCAGTAAACATCTTGTTTTACAACCAGTTTTTTGTTGATTTGGTTTTCTGTGCTGAAAAAGGGTTTGGCAATTTTATGTAGGCCCTACTTGAACATATATTTTCTTTCATATTCTGTTTCGTATTGTTTTGTTTGTATAGCACTTGTTTATTTTGTTTTGTTATTATTTATTTAAGTTTAATCAAAGAATTATTGTATTTGTGCTGAGGACTACCTCTGTAATGAAAAGTGTAAATATTTTTTATTTCAACAAATCTAGTAATTACTGTCATCATTAGATACAAATAAATCCATGAAAGTTCTAGTGAAATGCATTGCAATTCCAGAAGGCTTCAAGACCCTTAAATTACATCATCTTGTTGCAGAGACCTTAGGCTGCAACTCAAGAAGGTTTTTGAATCCTAAGAATGTCACTCCAAAAGGTTTGCAATCCTAAAATGGTTATAGAATCCTTAAATTACAACCCCAGAAGGTTCTGGCTGCCAATCTGGAAATTGCAAATCCTGCTTAGTAATCTCATTAATTATATTCACAGTATCATAATTATTATCATTCATCATCTTAACTACGACAGAGGCATGTTGTCTCTATGAAAAGTTTATCTGTATATTTAAGAATTTGAGCTTAGTTTATATATTTAAATTTTTCTTTCTAATCATTTAGAACCATAATAGAACATATCATTAGGAATTATTGGTATATGCCTTTAGTAAGCAATTTATCATTTTCATCAGTATCATTTTTAGTGGTGACTTGAAGGAGAGTAAATATCATTTTTTGACATTCAGGGCCATTGAAGGTGTAATATGCTATGCCCATTCCTTAATTGGATGCATATGTCTGTCGACCCATGTCAACTGCCACCTACTTGACATTTCATTTCAGAGAGTTGTGTTTTATAGATAGTTCTTTCCAAGATCACAGAAAGCGGGTGCTGCAATCCATATCCTCGGACTTGCATTCTTAAGGTTAAGGAGGAACATTTGGTGTTTCAAGCATTCTTTCTCTGTAGGAGATTGCAGTTGTGACCTCATTGTGGCAACCTTTTTTTCCCCACAAAGTTATCTGAGAGGTACTTATAGTTAGCACCTCGAGTTGAAATGCAATATATTGTATTAAAACCACAGGTTCCCAAAAAGAAATTGAGAATAAGTGCACTCAGGTGTGAGATGATGTGCTATTATGGCCATCATTATGAATTTTTAATTTTCTTGGAACTCTGAACCTTAGAATGTTTGGGCTTTTCCTTTTCCTTCATTTAGAAATATAGCTATAACCCTGAAATCCTCTGAAAGATTGAGCGTTGATTTTTCTCAGTGATATTGGGTATTATCTTTACAAGGAAAGTTTATTTTCTATATATATTATTGCACACTGTAGATAGTTATATTGTATAAACAGTGAGTAGAGATATATATTTCTGTGTATAGAGAGTTACTATTTGAGATAATGTATGATTATTATTCAAACAATGTGATTGTGTACATAAATCAAGACAGTTGATGTTATTATTTTGTGTTTGTTGAGATGTAGCTATTATTATTATTATTATTATTATTATTATTTAGAGTAAAGCAGTCAAATAATTTTGTTGAAATTACTGTAATTCTTGATTCTACATTTATTCAACGTAGTATTTTTGTGCATTATG